GGGTGTGTGTGTGTTTGGGGGGGGGATGGCATTGAGGGGGTGGGGCGAGGCGGCAGTACAAAAGCCCACGATGCGGGAGAGGTTGGTCGGACGCCTGCGAGGGTCGCACCGACGCTGTTTGACGGAAGGCGCCGTCGCACCAGGGGTGTATCCCCGGAGACCGAAGCAGCGCGCAAAGCATCAACACCCAGGCGGTGCGAGCCAGCGAGCCAGATACAGCCAGGCGGTGGCGGCCAGAGAGCCAGCAAGCCAGCCGGCCAACCAAACGCGCCCGGCCCAGTGCCAGGGTGGCCCTACCCAATGGACATGTAGGGCAGCTCCATGTACTCCACAGCAAAGGACAGGGATGATCCTAAACCTTGAACCCTCAACCCGAATTTCTAAACCCCCAACCCTACCCAATGGACATGTAGGGCAGCTCCATGTACTCCACCGCGATGGACAGGCCCAGCATGGCCAGCATGACCAGCAGGCGCACCACGGGGGCGCCCACGGTGTCCCAGTTCAGCAGCAGGTCTGGAGGATTTCAAACGCGAGAGCGCGCGTCGTGAGGGGTGGTGCGCAAAGTGGCGACTAGTGAAGATGTCGCCGTGAAGCTGCGCAATATGTAGCGGCGCAGCGCATTATGTAGAGGTGCATGTGCAGTGGCGGCCGCCAGGCGCGAGAGACTTAGTACCAATGAGGCACCACGCAAAGCTGAGCCGCCAGGCAGAGCCGCGCGGGTCTTCAGCCGGCGCCCTGAGACGCGGTCAACCCATGTCGCATGTCAGCCTGACGACGGTGATTGCGCACGGCTCACCCCAGCACCGTGCGCAAGTGCGCGCCCGCCAGCACCCCCCGGGCGCCCCGCCCGCGTCGCTCACCCGATATCGCGAGCCCCACAAACCCAAACACGGCGCCGCTCGCGCCCACGTACAGCACGCACGGGTCCTCAAACGTCATCGACAGGAAGTTGGCGCCAAAGGCGGACGCCAGGAAGATGACGGCGACGCGGATGGGGCCGTACGTGTGCTCCAGTGGCACGGTCAGCAGCAGGAAGAGCGCCATGTTGGAGAGCAGGTGGGTGAAGCTGCTGTGGAGGCAGAAGCTGGAGAAGAGGCGCCACCACTGGCCGGCCTTGACAGAGGGCGTATACCTGGCAAACCAATGGGGATTCAGGACGCGGGTGAGGCAGAGCGAAAGCTTTTCAATGCGAGCAAGAGGCCGCTTGACAGCAAGCTAGAGGCATCGTGGGGCGTCAGTTTCGGGCTGCGCGTCGCCGGCAGCGCGGCGCGCTGAGATAGGTGTCGCGCCTTGCACGCGGGTGCAAGGCGCACACGGCACGACGCTTGAGCCCGCAGAGAGGGGAGCCTTGGGCACTGTGCAGGAACGTCCAAATAGGCCCTGACCACCGCCCCCCGCGCCGCACCTGGCGCCCCAGGCAAAGAGGTACACGGGGTTATACACCGTCGCGCTCCTGAGCTCCCAGAACCGCAGCCACCGCACCAGCCCCGCCGGCCCCCACTGCTCCTGCTCCGACGCCGGCGCGGGCGCGCCGCCGAGCGCGGCGGCGGCGGCGGGGGTGCGGAGCCAGGTCGCGTAGTCGCCGGCCATGAAGGCAAACACAAAGGACATCCCCAGGACAACGAGGCTCGTGAAAATGGCCCAGTGAGTGCGCCGATGGTCGGGGACGAGCCTGTTGGAGGTTGATGGGCCAGCCACAGGGCATGGGAAGTGGAGGGTGCGGCAGCCTCGGGAGGATGCGGCAAGGGGAAGGTAGGGCCGCGGGCAGGGTCGCTTGGGCGTGGAGGGGTGTGCCCGGCCGCTGGCCGCTGGCACTGTGTGCGGCCGAGTCGGGAGAACCGCACTGGGGCGCGGAAGGGGAGGAGGTGCACACTGGGCGGCTGCAAGCGCTCCGTGAGCCCTCAAGTTGGTGCCCCGCTTGGTCGTGTCTCAAGGGCTCTCACCAGGATGCCATCTGCAGCATGTGCCTCTGCTGCTGCTGCTGCTGCTCCGCCGCTGCGAGGGCACCGCCGAGCACGGGGGCGCCGCCGCCGCCGCCGCCGCTGTTGGTAGCGTTGGTCTGGCCGCGCGACAGCAGCAGGTAGTGCGCGGCCGGGTCGCTGCTGACCGTGCGCGAGGGCAGGTCGGTCTCGCAGTGCACGACGACTGCGAAGCGTGCGCGCGTATGCAGCGCGTGCGGGGGGGGGGGGAGCGGGGGCAAGGGTCCAGCATTGCACTCGCTCAAAGGTCCAGCGCGGCGGTTGAGGAGGGCGCACCCGGCATCCTGCGGACGGGAACGTGGCAAGCATGCCTGCACAGGACGTGCGGCGTAAGCGCAACGCCGGCCGAGTAAGCAGCAAGGCCTCGAGCACGCACCTGGGTAAGGCTCGCGAGAGAGGGGCGACGCCTTGCCGCTGGCGGTGGCAGAGTGCCGCTGGCCCAGTGTCTGGTCTCCGGGGGTCGCGCGCTGCTGCTGCCACTGGGCGCCGTCGCCGCCGCTGGGTCCCTGCTGGGGGTGCATCACGTGCTGCTGCTGGTGTTGCTGCTCCTGCCGCTGCTGCTGCTGCTCAAACTGCGGCGCTGAGGGCACATGGAGCAGGGGCTGCGGGTACATGCCGCTGATTGGGGCGGACGAGCTGGCAGCCTGTGCTGACCCCGAGGCAGCAGTGATCTCCGATGTGCTCGCATCAGGCCTGCAGAGCGGTGCAGCGGCGGCGGCGGCGGCGTGGGGCGGTGCGATGCGCGGGCTAGTAAGCGGTCGCCCGGCCTTCAGATGCTGCGCTGCTCCCGCGGTCCAGTGGCAGTCAGAGCCGGGCTACAGCGCGTGCAGCGATGCAATTATACTTTGAGCCGTACTTGACACCGCTGTGCATCGCGATTGCACGCCTTCAGTGCTTGAGTGCCTGCCATCGTTAGGCCGCGCGCGCTGGTCGACTCGGGGGTGCGAACCTTGGGCCACCCGTTCCCCCGTTCAGAGACCATGGAGCACGTTGCTCCACCATAATAAGTAGGCCGTCGACGCTGCGAAGGAAAGCCCCAAGATCGACGGTCTGAAGACTGTGCAAAGTGCGTGGAAACGCTGCACACGACCTTCTAGATGTGCAGGAAGAAGCTTTTCGCTCACAGAATCCAGGCAAGTTGTGCTTCGGACACGGGGAATGCGGCCTACTCGGCACGCTGGTGGCAGCTGGGCTTGCAGCTTCCGCCCTGAAAACCTTCGGTCTGCTTCTCCTCTGCTCCCGCTCCTCTGCGAGTGCCCTCGACCAGCTGTGTGCCTCAGGCTGCAAACTAGCCGCATGGTGAGCGCAGCGCGTGCACGGACACCTGCAGGCAGCTTCCAGGTCAACGTCGGGCTGCGACGAGGGTGGGAGCTGACAGGGCAGTGGGGAAGAGCTGCGTGAAGGGCGGCGGACCGAGGCGGCCATCGTGAACACCCAAACCTACAGGCGGAGCACGGCGCTACCCTCCCCCACCTCCGCTGCCTGACAAAAGCCAATGTTGCATGTAAACCACATGCCCGAACAGATACGATTGCCACAGTGCCCGACCTCGCCCCACTCCATGGTGCACTTCAAGGGCCCCGTGCTGACAAGGCTCTTGCGTGCAAAGATACGTTGGTACAAGTCAAAGGAGAGTTGGGGGCCATTGGGGCCCGGAACACAACGCACGCCGCTGGCACACTGCTGTAGCGCTTGCTGCAGGGCACAGAGCCAGAGTTGAGAAAACCGGCACCCCGCGGGAACGCCTGCCACATTGATGAGGGCGCCGCAGCACCCGGACAGCTTTGACGCCGCACGACCGATGCGGCCCTTGCGCGCACGTGCAGCGCCCAGGCACTTGACTGGCCTGCCCAGCCTGTGCGCGCCAGCACGGGGACAGCAGCAACACAGATTACTCATGCTGAACACCAACCTAAGCTGTCAGCGATGTTGCAGTTATGGCGACCCCAAACAGCAGCTGCAAAAGACGCGCTCACGCGACGCGACCACAGAACTCTATCAAGCAACGCAGCCCGCGAGCAGAAAACGGGCAAACCGCCGCCCGCGCGGCGCGGACCCGTCACCCTGCCTCCATAGCTGCCGCTCCGCCACTGCCGCCGCCGCCGCCGCCGCCGCCGCTCGCCGCCTTTGCCCGCTGCCGCGCAACCCACTCGTCAATTCGAGCCTTGAGCGCCGCGTCCGGCCGCAGGTCGTACGGCGACAGCGGCTCCCGGTTGAGCGGGTCCCGCGGGTCGCTCAGCAGGTGGCGCCGTATGACTGCGCGGTCAAACGTGGTCCCGCTGGCTGGCGACACGACGGGGTCGGTCATGAGGGTGTAGTAGACCGGGTCGAGGAACTCGTCCGGGGGGTCTGCCAGGGCCTCGTCGCGGCGCTCGCGGCGCGCGGCGGCCTGGGCGACGCGCGCCGAGAGCGCGTCCAGCTGCTGCAC